CCATTCTCCTCTCTTTCCCTGGGACTCCGTCGAGAAGCGCTCTCCAGGCGAGTGCGCAGACTGGCCCTGAGGATGCGCGCCCGGGATGCCTCGCAGCGGCCCCTGTCGCAGCGGCCCCGCGTGTCGCCGCGGCCGCGCTCCCAAAACAACATCTATAGCGCCTGCCCGCGGCGTGCTCGGGCGGCGGACCAGGCGGGTGAGCAGGCGCCGGATACGCGGGGAGCGGGAGGAGGGTGGGGGAGATGAGCGGGCGGGGGATACGCGGGGAGCGGGAGGAGGGCGGGGGAGGATGAACGGCGGGGGATACGCGGGGACCGGGAGGAGGGCGCGGGGGGGGGATGAACGGGCGGGGATACGCGGGGAGCCGGAGGAGGCGGGGGATGAGCGGGCGGGGGATACGCGGGGAGCCGGAGGAGGGCGGGGTGATGAGCGGGCGGGGGATACGCGGGGAGCGGAAGAAGGGTGGGGGTAGGGGGGATGAGCGGGAGGTGGGCGCGGAGGCGCGGGGAGCGGGGGCGGGCACGGCTTGGGCACCCAGGGGCGTCCCGCACCGCCAGCTCCTCCTCCCGGGGCTCCGGGCGGGGCTGGAGGCGGGGCTTCCCCCGGCCCCGCCCTCACCTGGGCCTCCGGGTTCCCCTCAGGTGACGGCAAGGCCCGCCTCCCCGACCCCGGAGCTTCGGCGGCCTCCGCCCCGCCCAAGGTAAGCCCGCCCCGCCCCTGCTTGCAGCCGCGGCCGGAGCGGGGAGGCGGGGCCCCGCGCGGTTCCCGGAGCTGCCGCTCCGCCGAGGGCGCCGGTTCCCCAGCGGCTCCTGGGCCCGGCGTCGGCAACGAGGAGTATGTTTCTGGTCTGATGGTGTCGGGAGACTGCCTGCCGCCAGTGTGGCAGACCTGCTTTCCGGGCTTGCAGCCAAGCATTCCTCACGGGAAAGTGGGTGCTGAGTAGGGGATGATAGACGGCGACCATGCAAATACGCACGGGCTTTCCTGTGGAAGAGATTCGATTTTAGGAGGTCTTAAGGGGTGGATCCACCCAGTTTCACCTTACTCTGAGGGGAACGTTCGAGTAAACTCTAAGATGAGAAGAGGTAATTTGCCCATCCCCTGAGGCGGTTAAGCCTGGCCTCGAGGATGACTTAGTGGACGTCAAGATGTAGGCAGGATTCAACGCCTTGGGTGAGGAGGATTCCTCTGGAAATTTAGGAGTGGGCATAGGGAACTCATGCTTCTGTCGATGGCCATTGGCAGTTGGGCGAAAAGCCTTTAAACTATCCGTTCATCTTTGTTTTCCCAAATTAAGAAGAGAAAACGCTTTATTCTCTAAAGTAGCCCACAGTAGCTAAAACACTGTGACCTCAAGAACCAGGAAAACCTAAGTGTGGCAAATGTTGCTGTTTTAATTATGGTGTAGACCAAGCTAATGCAGCAAACCCTAGGCCACAGGCTCACAAGATGGAGGTCTGTTTCCTCTCCAGTGAAGGCAGGGAGCCAGGAAGCAGGGCCTGAGCCGCCAGGTCATCCAGGGACTCCAGCGCCGTCTGTCTGGTGGCTCCACCATCCCCTGGAGTCTTGCTTGGTCCGCAGTCCGTGCTCAATCGCAAGTGCCATGTCCGCAATCCAGCCCACAGGAGGGAGAGAGAGAAAGCTGCTTCCTTCAGACCATGACCCTGGAGTTTCACGCATCACTGCCACTCGCGTCCCGTTGGCCTGACTTAGTCATGGGGCCACACCTACCCTCAAGGGAGGCTGAGAAAGGCTGTCCCTGGCTGGGCAATTGTGTGCCTTGCTAAAAAGGGGAGAGCGATGCCCAGCAACAAGTAACGCTCTGTCACAGTCCCCTCCAGCTGCCTGAGCTCGCCCTGCCCACCTTTGCCAGAGGAGGCCCACAGGAGCTTACTAGCTCCAGCAGGACCCAGCCTCGCTACCCTTACACGGGCCCTTTTCTTTTGACCTCCCCTGTGACCCCACACGCCCCTCCCTGGGCCTGTTGCTCGCTCAGATATTACCCTTCCTCCCTGCTTGAAACTCTCATTCCCACTGTTAGGGACTAAAATCTTAATGGAACAAGTTTACAACAAGGTGCCTGTGATTAATAACTGAATATTTTAGACTTCGTAGGGAATATCTTAATTTCTTAAGCCAAATAAATTTATCTCAAACGATGAACTGTAACAGGCAGTCGGAGATGTATTGTTGAAGCAAGCTGCTGCTCATTTCCCTTCTGGTAAAGTACAAAAAGTAACATTTCTTTCAATGAGCACTTACTGAGTGCCTACTATGTTCAGGGGGCTGGACTTCCAGTTCTCAGCACTTGGGTGTAAATATGTGACTCTCCCTACAACAGCCCTCTTGGGTGGATGTTACAATAATTGTGTCATGTTGGGGTCGTGACACAGCCTTATCCTCTGAGGACTGACCCACCTTGAAGGCGGATTATCCTGAGGTTTCTGTCTGGGGAAGGGGAGTTCCACTGGCCCGTGTGGCCTGCCACTTTGCCCCCCTCCACCACCCAGCCCCTTCCCGGAATGCACTGTCTTGCCACGTCACGGCCTCTCTGAGCCCTTACAGAGGTGCAGGGCGTGGCTCGCCCTGCTTCTGAATGACTCCCTAAGAAGATGCATATTTACTCGATAAGTCACCCAGAGGGGAAACTCCGGCAGCTGGGTCACCTTCAGACCTGTGCTTGGCCACGTGATTTTAGCCTGCACCCCATTTAAGGCACTTTCTGCCCACATTAGATCTAAGTGTTTTCTGGTGATGCATCTTTGGTTGTTCCCAGGTGTCTGAAGCTCCCTGGCCCCAGGCCTCGTCTCTGAAGAGCAGCTGTGAGTATGTGAGCGTCTGCCGCCAGCCTGCAGCCATGATGGAGGACACCGGTTTAGAGGACTACGTCAACATTGCCTGCCTGACTCACCTCTCCAGCTGTCGCCCTGGGCCCAGACCTTTGTGCCACTGAGTCTTGTGTGTCCGCTGGTTTCCAGCACCTGCTCAGTATGTTTTTGGAGCCCTCATTACCTCCCACATCCCTCCTTGAGTCTCGTTCCTGTCTGACTGCCCCCAGCATAGCCCTCTTGAGTGGATGTTAGAATAATTGTGCCATGTCGGGGTCATGGCACAGTCCCCGCTGCTCTTCTTACGCACCTTTGCAGCCCCATGTGGTTTTCAGGTGGGCTCTGGGCATGCAGAGCGTTTGTCCAATGCCACCTGCTTCCTTTCCAAGCTGTGTGACAGGCTGTGGGATTTGCAGAGGGTCTTTGCTGCCCTGGCTCTAGACCATGTGGCTCGACCTTGGGCTAGAGCTTAGGCACAGCTGTTGCTTCTGGAACCCTCCCCAGGCTTGGGCTTCACTCCAGTAGAAGGCCCCTGGATTGCATTGTGAGGACACGCCTCAGCCCATGAGCTGAGAGGGGGCCTGGTAAACACCCCTGTCAACATCTTTGCCCTCATCTTAGGGCCGGCACTTACTAGTGAGCTTCTACTCATCTTGAATCTTACGTTAAGGGCAATTAATTTTGATGTGATGAAGAGTTCTAAATTTTCAGAGCTGTGCTTGTTAGTGTTAGTGTTATGTGTGTATATATATATATATATATATCTCCCTAAATCCTCTTTACTCTCTCTCCTCCCTTGATGCTGTTAAGTACCCCGACCCCAGAACTTCTTGTCTTTTAGAAATAGAATCGGTTTTGTCATCTCTTTACCCTTCTTCCATCGCCTAGCACTGATATTTGTGCACTCATCATTTTTTTTTTATTTTTAAAAGCCCCCTAGTACATAGTTGTATATTCTAGTTGTAGGACCTTTTGGTTGTGCCATGTGGGATGCTCAGCGTGGCCTCATGAGTGGTGCCATGTCCATGCCCAGGATCCAAACCGGTGAAACCCTGGGCCGCTGAAGCAGAGTGTGAGAACTTAACCACTCGGCCACGGGGCCAGCCCCTGTGCACTCACCTTAACATTGGTCTATTTTAGCCATCCAAAACCTTTACATCTCTCTGCTTTCTGAAGTGCACCTCATCTCTTTGCCAGTTCCAGGTCATTTGTAGCAAGGTGGGGAAGGACAGTCGTCTGGATTCCTGGAGGGCCAGGGCCTCTGCAGCACTTGGATCATGGGAGAAGAGACAGCCCACCTCCTACATAGACTCTTTCTCTTAAGATTTCTGAGCAAAGGCATAGCAGACATTCTATCTTTGGCTTGAAGTCAACTCCAGAGTTCATCCAGAGCTTGAGACTAGAGAATGCCCAGTCTTGCCATGAGGAAGAAGCCCTTTCCCAGACACCCAGCTCAGCCTCACTGGGCACTTGTCCAGAAATAGAAAGGAAAGGCAGCCAGACTTGAGGTCCCTGCCTTTTCTTAGCAGGGAATGTCATCACAGATTGGACAGTACAGCAGTACGATGACACCGCTGGCAGTGCCAGACGGACACTGGCACCTCTCAAGTGGCAGATAAGGGAAGAATGAGTAGGCTAAGAAAGGAGGCACCAAGGGGAAGGGATGGTGGGAGAGTGGGGTGGGGAGTGCGGGCAAGAAATGAAGTGTTCAGTGAGAGCCTGCTTTGTGCTGGGCATTTGGCCCACATCACATCTTTTGTCGTTTGTATTTCAAACGGTGCGCCTCGCCCCCAGCCCAGTGGTCTGTTCCTGCAGATGTCACAACAATGTGATTTCCATGCCCGAAAGTTCAACTTCACATCTCAGCACCCCTCATGATTCCTCAGCAATTCAAAGACAGGCAAAAAATCCAGTTTATTAAGCATTTGCCAAGCGCCTGTCCACTGCCCCATGCAGTGGCCAGGATTGTGGTGGATAAAAGAGAAGCAAGGGGTGTCCCTGCTGCCTTCACAGAACTTACAGTCTCACCAATAAATATGGCATCAGTTAAAACACTGACACGAATTAAATAGAGTTGTAATAAATATAAGAATCTGCTTGTAGATTATTCACAGCATCCAAGGGAACCTTCCGTGGCTGTCTTTGGGGCCACTTAAAGAATGAAGTCTTTGAGGATAAGCCTGGGCCAAGAACGGGGCCCGTGGTCAAGGGCGTGAAGCGCCCAGAGAGCATCACGGGAAGGCGCGCTCGTTTGAAATGACACGGAGAACCAGGAGGGTATCCTGGTCTGGGCGTTCAGGGCTGGTAGAATTTCTCCATCCAGGTCAGGAGAATGTCCACTTCTCCAAAGGCTTTGGTCAGAGCTGCTTCTATGTCCAGCTAAAGGGAAGCGAGAGATGAAGATGTGTCATGTTAGCCACAAGAACAGCTTTCCTTCCCACCACCACTCCCGAAATGGGCCTGATTCGGAATCATGGGCCTCATCCCCTCGGGATGGCCTCTGACGAGCTCACCAGCCCATCGCTTGCTCCCTGCCTCTGTGTGTTGTCTGCTTTAGGAGTGAGGACAAGTGAGCCAGGGAGCATCAGTGGGTAAGGAGCAAGGGAAAAGCGTCTAATCCCAGTGCACAGTGGGCCTGGTCCGCTTCCTGAGCCACTGTACAGGTAAGGAAACTGAGGCGCAGGAGGTCTCTTTCCATTGTACATTATTGCTCCTCACCATTTATTTATAGACTGACGTATCTGTTCCTCAAAAAGCAGTCAGATTGTGTATGTTTTTCGGGGGAGCTGGGGATGAAATTTAGATATTCTTTGCTGTCTTTATTTGGGAAAAGGCAATATAATTTCCCCTAATTTTTTTCACAAACTAGACCATTTGAGCCTTATGGAAAATCCTGCAGATGTGTATGTGGTGGGGTGGTCTCCCTTCTTTCTCCCCCACTTCCGACTCCAATTGCCCAGCTCAGGTACTCAGAAAACTCACAGGGCAAGTCCCCAGTAGTGAAATCATCTCGTAGGGAAATAGAATAGCATTTTAACTTGAAAACTGGCAGAAAAATAGGCCATGTAGTTTGTGGTGCTTATGCAAAGTAAATGCTAATGAATGCAACTATACCTGTGTTCCTGCTAAATCACGTGGCTTTGGGGCAAGCCTGGTGGAGCCACCTGCACTGAATTCTGCATTCTCTCTCTGAGGCACCCTCATGTGACAGTTCAGGCTAGTCTTTGCTGGAGGGGCAAACTCTCGCTCCTAGCCTTGATTACCTGTTTAAATTCTCGCTGGAACAGCAGAAACCGCCTGCGTGCACTCTCACTGATGGAAAACATCTCATTTTCCTGCTGGATAACAGAAAAAAGACATTGTGCCAAGTGCTGGGTAGCAGCAGAGGCAAGCCGCCTCCCGCTTCTTCCCAGTGATGCCAGAGGGGTTCCCAAGGCCTAAGAGGACAGCTCTGAATCCCACGTCCTCAGGTAGCCAATGCTGAACTCCCGCCATGTGGCAGGGGCTGCCTCCTTTCATTCCCACAGCAGTTTTGACAGGTGGGGCTGATCCTCCATGTTTTGTAGGTAAGAAAACTGAAGCCCAGAGAGGCTGACCCCCTTGCAAAGGGTCACCCAGCTGGTTAGAACCAGACCTGGACTTGAACCCAGAACTGCTGGGGTCAGAGCCTGTGCTCTTTTCCATGACACCCACGACTCTCTCTTGTGGAGTAAAAGCCAGGACCAGATAAGGGGAGGGGAGTCTTCTCAAAACGCACTGTTTCCCATGGGCCCCAGTCCCAGCATTGTTCTACTCACACTGGGTCGCAGTCTTGACGTGATGGCAATAAAGTTGTTGGCCAGAGTAGAGAATGACTTCAGGATCCTGAATTCAGCTGCCTTACCGTGGTAGTTTTTGAAGACGGTATCCAGGTAGAACTTCAGCAAGGCTTGGCTGAGGTAACAGCTTTCGGCGTCCTGGGGAGGGTCTGAGTCACTGTGGAGCCTCTGCCCAGCCTGCCCCCCCAGATGAACAACCCACATGCTACATGAGGCAAGAGATGCACAGTAGAGGCAGGGATCTCCTGGGAGATGCTGATAAACGTGAGACCTGGAGGAGCCTTCAGGGGCCACGCAGAGCGGTGCCTTTGTTTTACGGGAGGAACTGCAGACCCGGAGAGGAGGGACCTGCCCAGGGTCACACAGCCAGCCTGCGGCAGACACAGCCTAGCTCCCAGGACTCCTGACTCCCCATCTGGTTAATGTGCTTCCTTCTAGATCACATGGCCTCTCTCGTAGCTCTGGGAGGTGATGGATCCTGAAAAGCCCCCAGAACTTGATGGTTGGAAGTTGGGAGGGACAAGGACTGGAAGGAGGAGGAAAGAAAACCAACATCCTTGAACTCAGGGATTGCACTCTCGCCCCTCAAACCCACAGAGCAAAGCTCAGCACCTTTCAGGGATCAGGGCTGAGTATGTTTGTGCTCACTGACTGACTAAATGGGTGATGAGAAGACAATAATGGGTGAGAAAAAAGGATGGAAATGGAAGAGACCTAAGCAGATGCCCACTGGACCTTCCCAAGCAAAAGAGAGAGAAAGATGGATGGCAACTCTCTGGCTAAATGGAGAAAGATGTTTACAAGCCTTAGTTCCCTCCCACGCTGTGTCGCCACACGCATACCCACAGAACCCAAATACAGTGATGACGACCCCAGACGTTGACTTCTCCGGCTCAGTGCCCAGCCCTGTCTTGTGTAGGCTTAACCCAGGGAGAAGTAAAGGGCTTCTGTCAGCCTCCCCTAGGCAGCCCCTCACCCCCACCCACAGTAGGCCAGCCACAAAGAGGGAAGCATCCTCCTTCCCCAAGGTCTGATTACCGAGACGTTCTGCAGGACCTCCTTCCGCAGCAGCCGGACGCCCGTGATGTTATCCTGAGCTTGCTTCGGGGACAGAAAGAAAAGATGTCTCCAGGTTGGGGGTCAGCACAGTACCCAACCTTGCACGTTTGTGCTGCTCCCCCACACCCCTCCATTTATCCAGTCTGTGAGATCTCAGAGGCCAGAAGGACCACAGGAGGACCCAGGAAGGGCTGGGCTGAGCTGGCCTCTGGGGTAGGGGTACAAGTTTCCAACCACAGAAAGTCACTAATCTTGGTCCCCAGGGGCAGACTGAATCCCAAGAGTTCTTAGAGCCTGAATGTGGGCTTGATGAGAGCCCAGTTTGATTCCTTGGTCACTTGAGACAGGAGGAAATAAGCCTATTTGGCTTAGGAACCACTAGGGGCAGGATTTTGCCTCCACGTTCCCAATGGGGGGGGAGGGGGGGGCAGGTCAGGGGACGTGGGCAGGCTGCACCTCCAAGCTCACACCCTTGGTGCTTCCCCTGTAGCCCAGCCACTCATCCCGGTTCTTCAGTTTGCAGTGAAAGAATCCTTGTGAGGAAGCAGCTTTAGAGCTCATTTGTCCCACCTCTTCATTGTGCAAATAAGGAAACTGATCGGGGTGGGCGGTGGGGGGTGGGGGTTACTGTACCAGTTGGTTTCAAGGTCAGGATCACATCCTGTCCCCTGCCCAGCACTCTCCCCTCTCCCCAGGCTGCCTCATCAAGCTCCCTCTTTCTGCCTTGTGTCTGATCTTCTTTAAGGTGTGGAGAGCAACTTCGAGTGTACAGACTGGAGCACTTTCATGCCCAGGAGATAGCCCCAGTCATGTTTCACAAGCCACCCCATCCCACCTCAGCATTAACCATTCTTTCTACCTTTAGGCAAGGGTTGGGCGGATGGGGACAGACTATCTAGAGCCTGACAAAGCAGTAGGGAAAACTCCCACTGGTCTCAAAGAATTTCCTGTGACTTCCGGTTGGTGGAGTCTCACGTCCCCATGGGACATAGATGAAGCCCGGATGAATCAGGCTCCCTTCCTTATTCCCCTTGGGCTGTGTTTTTTTTACTGTAGACTAACCATGTCCTTCTGAGCCTCAGTTTCCTCACGTGCAAGAGGAAATGTGGGCTTGTGATGCCTCTGACTTCACAAAATCGTTGTATACGAAAATGATTAGCGAGGTACAAAGGGCTCCATAATCATGAAATATGATCCTCTGCCCACGGTGACCACCGTGGCTGGGTTCAGAACAACGCTTCACTCACCACGACGTCCTTCACAGCCCGGAAGGCCGCCCACAGTTCCTGGAGAACTACCCCTTCTACTCGGCAGGACCCAAACTGGAACTCTTGGCCCTGGACTCCTGGCCTCTGGCTCCAGAGAAGCAGGATCAGACTCAGGGAGAGGAGGGCAGCCCTCTGCATTGGAGAGCCCATTTTCAGCAAAGGAAGAACCAGAAGGATCCTGCTGGAGGAAAGAAAGCGTCCCACTGAGGCAGGCCCTCTGCCCCAGGAGTCATGTACGCCAGAATAAGGCTCCTTGGCTCTGCCTCAGCCAGCACTGGGGGCACACAGATGGGAAACCTGAGACCACGGTGGGTTCCCAGTGTTAGAATATTGCAAATATGTGGCCTTATTGGGATACACTGGGGCGAGGTGAGGGTCTTTCTGTCCCTCAACCTCCTACTGGCTGATCTGGCTATCTCACTGTCTGCCCTCCCCCACCACGCGCATCCACATCACACACACCCTGCGCCTCCCTCCTTGCCCCAGGACGGTTCTCTCTAGCCAACAACCTGCTAATCAGAATTTGACCAAGAAGAGTGAAGAAATGGGGGGTTATAATGGGCCAAAGAACACGTGTAGGGAGCCCAAACTCGGGAGGATAGAGAGCTTAACCAGGCGTTTGCTAGTCTGAGTTCTGCCCTTAAGCTCAGGCACACTCGGGCAGGTCTTTTCTCTCCTCCCCCAGGAGAAGGCCGTCCCTGACTCCTCATCACACTGGAGCCGAGGGGTCAATCCTAGCCCATAGGGAAGGCACAGACGGTAGGTTAGCGGCACACACTCACTCTGCCACTTCAACTGACCGACTCACTCTTGACTCTAAGAATTAACTTTTCAGGTAACTGAACAAGAGGGAGGAATCAGATTTCCAGATGAGTCACCTTTCAAACCTTCTGGGGCCGGCACCCGCTATCCTTGTCATGCAGGAGCGTGCTTCGAGCCTCCCTGAAAGTCTTCCCGTTCTGTTCTTTCAAACTCTGCAGGCTTTGCCGCGTCTCTTGAAAATTCATCTCTGGGCCTCGTGATCCTCCTGGCCTCCCTCCCATCCAGCCCAAGTCCTTCTCGGCGTTAAATTGGAGAATGCGGTTCTGCGTCCACAATTACATCTTATCCTCACATAAGCACCCTCTGCTGGCCCCCCAGCCCCCCATTCCCACTCATGCGGCAGCCCCACGCTCCAAAGTGAGGTCCTCAGAAGTCCCCAGTCGCTCACCTCTGGTCCTGGAGCTGATGCTTACGGGTTTGCTGTTCGGAGGTGGCTGGCCCCTGTCATGGCGGGGACAGTCAGAGAGGCCCCCTCCCTCAGCGGTCAGGGGTGTAAGTGTGGACGGAAGGTTCTTCCCTCAGCTAGAGAGGTGGTTTCAAAAGTGAAGGTGTGCGGGCAGACAAGCCTCTGTGGAGATTCGTATATATGGGGGCTGGCGAGGGGCGGAGGAAGAGGGGGGAGGTGGAGAAAGGGAAATTGGTCATGCTGCCCTAGAGAATTCCTTCACTGCCTAGTCACCCCTCACTGTAAGACAATGGGCATGGAGAAGGCAACCCCTGAGGGGAGATGAGACCTGGGTCTGAATTCTGGCTCCGCCCCAAGCTGTGCAACCAGGAGCAAGTCTCCTGGCTGCCCTGAGCCTCAGTTTCCACATCTATAAAATTTTAAAAAAGAAGAAACAAGGAAAGAAAAAACTTTATTCCCTTATTTATGTCCTACCTCCTCCAGAGGGCAAGTTTAAGGACCAAATGGGAAGTGACGCAGTGGCGCTTTGTAAACTCTCTGCACACGGAAATCCATGATCACTGTGCAGGGTGCACCAGTCTCCTTACTCCCCAAATCTTCAATAATTATACCTCGTCAGTGATGGGACAGCAAGCCGGAGGCTAAGGATAACCTATAAGTACTTCTCCTTACTCACTCAGGGACAGGAATTTTAGGAGTGTTTCCTGATGTGCAGCCACGCATGACCCCTTCTTGGGTTCAGGAAGAAGGAAGTGTGTGCATGTCCAGGTACAGACACCTGGGGGCCCTCATGTCCTGGTGGGCTAGCCTCAGCCCGTGCTGCTGTGCCTGGGGTCATCCAGCCAGTGCAGGGAGCATGGCATATCGGGAGCACCAGTGCAGTCAAGAGACGTGGCTGTATGTCCAGCTGGCGAGGCCCTCCAGCCTCAGTTTCCCCAGGTGTCATGAGGGGTAGACTGGAGCATGTCCCAAAGCATAGGCCCCAGAATGGAGTCCTGAGAAATGCTTGTCTGTAAGACACCCCATGAGACAAGCGGGTTCGGTAACTCAGAGAAGCCGGGCATGCACGGCCCTCTCGGGAATGTACAGTGCTCTGAGGAGCAGGGTCGGGCGTGTGTTTGACTATCTTTAACCCAGCGCTTCCCACAAACATTTGGCCACATCCCGGGGACACTGCACTCTGACCAGGGATTGGCAAACTACGGGCCAAGAATAAGCCAAGAATAGCTTAGCCCTGTGACCTAAGAATGGTTTTTACATCTTTTAATGATTGAAAAAAAATCGAAAGAAGAAGAATATTTTGTGACACATGAAAAGTATGTGAAATTCAAATTTCAGTGTCCAAAAATAAAGTTTTATTGGGATGCAGCCAGGCTCATTTGTCACATATTGTCTCTGGCTGCTTCTGTGCTACAATGACCTGGATGAGTATTGTGCTGAGATCGTGTGGCTCACAGAGCCTAAAACATCTACTCTCCGGTCCTTTGCAGAGAGGTTGCTGAGCCCGGCTCTAAATTACCTTCCTGCGCAAACATTCCCCGAGTTTCCTTAAACCTGGGTCCAGCAAAGACACAAGAGCAGAAATGTGACGTGAGGGGCAGGATCACTTTCTCCAGCTCAGGGGAGAGGGAAGAACAGGGGACACCGGGAGGATCAGGCCCTCCCAGTCTCTCCAGCTGGCAGACCCTTCCCAGTCTCTCTGGCACCAGCACCCCTGCCCTCCGTCACACACACAGTGTTGTTTGTTTCCTTAAGCAGACAAAACACTTCTGCAATCCCCAGCCACAGCCTGGTCTGGGCCGCCGCCACGACGGGAGCCAAGCTTGGGTCCTTTGCTCCTGGAGAAACTGAGTCTTGCTCTCTAGCCCTAGCAGGGACCCACATCACATCCTTTTCTTCCCCTTCAGGATCTAGGGCATTTCTAAAAATCTCTCACTACTATGGGAAGAAGATGCCAACAAGCACTGATGAGAGAGAAAAGAAGATGAAGTAAGTGTGTTGGGGCCACAGATGTGGGGGAGGCAGGAGAGGCTGGAGAGGTGGCTAAGACAGGAAGCTGGGAGGGAAAGGGAGCCCCCAGGGCAGCTGCAGTCCTAGACAGCTGTCTGCTGATAGGCAGGAGGGCAGGAGGGATGAGCTGTTAGCAGGGCAGGATAGAACAGAGGCATGAGGTCATGGAGATAGCTCGGTAGGCTCTGGAATATCCACCTGAGGTCATGAGTAGCTCATTCTGTCTAAGAAAGGAACAATATAATATGGACATTCCAGGAAAACACGTGCCTGAGTCGCAGGCTAGGCTGAGCTATCGTAGCCTGATTACCTGGGAAGGGAGGGCAAGGAGAGAACTCAGGGGCCTTGGCCCAACATCCAGCGAGATTGCTGGTTATGAGTCCGAGCTTGCACCCAGGCAGACCTAGGTTCAAAACGTGATTGAGTCTTTCACCCTCTTCCTCGTCTGTAAAATCAAGTTCTCATCGGGCCGTAAAGACACAATAACATAGCGCCTTGCTACTCAAAGTGTGGTCCTCAGACCAGCAGCAATGGCAATGTCAGGGAGCTCATTAGAAATGTACAATTTTAAACCCTTCCATAGTTGCTGAACCAGAATGCATGTCTTAAGAAACTTCCAGGGTGATTCTTATGTATATTAAAATTTAGGAATTATCTACATAAAACACACGAAGGACTTAGCCCAGTGTCTTCCACGTGGTAAATGCTTAGCAAACAAGGGTTTCAAGTGAAGGGGTAAAGAACTGGAGCAGAGATTCCCAATGGAGCAATTTTGCCCCCAGGGGGCGTTCGACAACGTCCGGAGACATTTTTGGTTGTCATAACTGGGGAGTGGGGTGGGGTGGAGGTGCTGCTGACATGTAGTGGAACGGGCTGGGGATGCTGCTAAACATCCTGCAGTGCACACAACAGCCCTCACCACAAAGAATTATGTGACCCCAAATACCAGTAGTGCTGAGGCTAAGAAATCCTGGACTAGAGGGCAGTAGTGGCTGTGGGGAACGAGCAGAAACAGGACCAGAGAAGGCTAAGAAGGGAGCCTTATTGGGAAAGGGGCAGTGGACTGATAGGTGGTCAGGGGAGGGGGAGAACAAGATGGCAGCTTGGAAGGCTGTGCCCAGAGGCTCTGGGTGGGACCAGGTGGGCGAGGTCTGGCTTACTGACTCGGCCAGGGAAGCTGCAAGACTTGGAGAAGCTGGAGAAAATGGGGCTGGTCCTTTTGTCCAGATCCGTGGATTTTTATGCAAACTTTCTCCTGGGCCAGACTAAGATCTGAGGCTCTTCTAATCTCTCTAATCTCCATGATGTCTGGAACTTGGGGAATTTCCTTTATAAAAATATTAGATGGGAGAAAAGTTCCTCTGAGGATAAACTTTGATTTACAAGGCCACTTTTTCCCAAAAATACTCTTTATTAGGTTTAGGGGCTTTATTCTGTTAATCTCGTGCCGTCTCTGTCATATATATCTCTTCGTAGAGTGAATGTTACCTTTGAGAAGTGAATCTACTCCCGCCTCACATCCCCTACAAATTCTCCTAAACTTGTAGCGAGAAAAGGACTGAACCAGGATGGAGAAGGGTCCCTTCTCCATAAAGGGGTGACTCTTGAATCTGAATACACCCTCTTTTTGATTGATTCAAATGCCCTGCAGGAGAGAAGTGATGAGCATATTAATTAGGATTTCCTGAGAGCCAGGAGATAAGAGAAAGTTACATCATCATTTTTCTTCCAGTGAACTGAGTTTAATCTTCACCTTAAAACAGATTTGTATCTCCCTATTTGGTTGGGAAATTCATGGGGTAATAGATGTGGGTACCTGGGCATTTTGTCAGCCTTTTTCCTGGTCTGAGCTGCCATAGTTCCAAGAGCAGAGATGAGGGGTGGATGTCCACTGGCTGGCACTCTCCCATTCTATCTTTTTCTCTGGCCTTGGTGTAATAAATGATTTATTATTACAGGCATTTCAAAGGATGGAAGTAAAAACAAACAGATTATTTTTACATCTGTACAGCAGGCTTAGACATACAAAACCCCTCCAAGTGAATTTTCTCATTTGATATTCACCATAACCTTGTGAAATAAGGAGGACAGGTATTATTAACCCTCCTTTGTAGATTAGAAAGCTGAGAGTCAGGAAGGTCAAATGATTTTCCCTAGGTCTGATAAATAAATGACAGAACCAGAGCTAGAATGCAGATCTTCTGGCTTTTAGTCCAATATTCTTTCCCTTGTACCACATTTCCGTGCAATTTTTCATTCGTGCATCAGTCGTTTGTTTACTGAACAAACATTTCCTACGCACCTACTGAGTGTCGAAAGAGACTACACAAGAAATGAATTACTTTGATAGCATTTATGTAAAACATCCAGAGAAGACAAATCGATAGAGACAGATAATAGAGTGGTGGTTGCCAAGAGCTTGGCGCCAGGGGCTGGGTGAGCTGGAGGAACGGGAGGGACTGGTAATGAGCGCAAGGTTTCTTTTGGGGGAAGGAAAATATT